TTCTAAGTAATAATACTGAGTGGATTGCCATTTCCTGCTCCAAGGTATCTTCTTGACCCTGGGATCGAACCCACATCTTTTGCATCTCCTGCATTGGCAGGCACCACCTGGAAAGCCCCATTTGTAATAGAGCCAGTAACAATTTGAAATAATTGATAGGATATATGTTACTGAATGCAAGTTTGTGTGCTCAGCACACAGTGAGGTCAAACATGTTGCGATCAAAGGTTTAATGCAGGACCATNGGTGTGTATGCCCAGAAGTGGGATTGCTGGGTCATATGGCAGTTCTATTTCCAGTTTTTTAAGAAATCTCCACACTGTTCTCCATAGCGGCTGTACTAGTTTCAGCAAAGCACTTTTATAGGTGAGGTGAGGGAGGGGCATGATCAGTTGTTGCAAACTTACTGGTGTCAGAATCCTTTGTTCTTGCCTCTGTCCATGTAGATTAGGTCAGAATGTTCCTGTAAACCTCCAACAAGACAAACCCTATTCTTTGTTACTGCAAGTTTTTTCTGCTTATGAATGGACTCTTAAAGGTCAGATCCCTGAGAATAAGCTGTCCTGTCTATTTCAGACTATAGACAACATTCTTTTATAAAAGGTACAGAGCCAGCATGACTAAGCACAGGCAACGAAGCACATAGGTTAAAGCAAAAGGAACAAATCTAATATGGAATCAGATTTGTTCTTCCTATTACATATGGGGGGGCTTCCCTGGTGGCTCAGTGGTAAAGCATCCACCTGCTAATGTAGGAGACATGAGTTTGATCCCTGGGTTGGGAGGATTCCTGGAGGAGGAAATGGCAACTCACTCCAGTATTCTTGCCTGGAAAATCCCATGGATAGAGGAGCCTGGTGGGCTACAGTCCATGGAGTAGCAAAGAGTAGGACACAACTGAATGACTAAATGACAATTGAACATGGAAAAATAGAGAATGAATAAGGTGCTTATTACTTTAATAATTTTGAATTACTATGTCATGTTGACCTTCTGCACATGAAATTGGAATGATCAAAACGAGTTGTGAAACAGGGAAGAGTAAAGGTAAGAGCAAAGAAAAAAGGTAACTGGTTTCTTTATTTGGGCGTATTGATATGGAATACATAGACATTTAATGGTTCTTATTTGGTTATTCTTTATATTAGTCAATACAGTTTGTGAGGAAGCCACCCATGGCATCTGTGTTTGGTAATCTGTCCCCGTACCTTGGGTGTTTGCAGTAGACAGGAGAGGTGTTAAGAGAGGACAGTGTTTGCAAAGGCCATGTGCACGAGGTATGGTCCTGGGAGAGAGAAGTTATATAGAACTGGAACCTAGGACATATTTGGAGAAAAGGCAGGAGCCAAGAGTGGAGAAAATGGGCAAACACAGAAGAGTTTTCAATGTGGCCATGCTAAACAATTTTGATGTTAGCTTATAAGTAATGGCTAGTTGTTGAAGGGATTTTAAGAAATAAAGATATGAATTAAAAAAAAAATCATCTTGAAATGAATGTGTCTAAACCAGGATCAGGAATATTATTGAGGTGACTCTTGTCACTGTCCAGATAACTAAGACCCAATGAAGAGTTGAGGCATTGGGGTAGAAGGTAAGGAATGAATCAGAGAAGTTAATGAAATTCATTGATAATCTGCTAGGAATAAGAGAGAACAAGGAATCCATCATGATATCCAGGTTTCTGAAAGAGATCATTGGGAGGATGTTGATGCTATTAATTGCAAAGAAGAATTTCAGAGGAGGAAGAGACTGAGCTTTGACATCATGAGTTCATTTTCAGACATACTGACTCTGAGGTGGCTGATTAAAAATATTCAGGTAGACCAGTTCCAGAGGATAGTTGGAATTACGGTTTTAAGATACCAGTTGGGAAGATGAGATAGAGTCAGTGACTGTCATTTACCTTATGAGTATGCAAAATGACGGAGAGAGATTGTATAGTGTGAGAAAGGTAGAATGGGAAGGAGCATGCCTGGGAAACAACATTTAAGGGATGATGGAGGGAGAGGAGTCTACTGATTGACTGGAGAGAGCCAAGAAATAGGAAGAAAATAGGGGCGGGTGGAGAGTTTTGACGATCAGGAAAGTAGAGAGAAATTCAAGGCAAGGCAGCAGTCAACTTTAACAATGCAGCTGAGAGGGCAAAATCACTGAAAGGTGCTGATCAAATTTAACACTCAAATCATGGCATTTCAGTAATATAGTGGGGCTAGCAGCAAGGTGTCATTGGTTGAAAGAAGCATGGATAAGAAAATAGATAAAACAAGAGTTGTATGTTTTCTTAAACAAAAACAAAAACTCTGAAGAAAAAGAGGGAGGGTGAGAAAAGAAAGAGCAACAGCTAGAAGGGATTAAAGAAGGATTTTTGTATTTTTATTTTTTGCTTTAGAGGGATAGAGCATGGTGCTGGAAAACATGCTGAGAGCTGAAAGAAAGGTGACATGGCCACTGGCCTCCGTGATCTGTCAGGCAGCAAAGAGACAAAATGATACCATTGTATTATTACTACCATAAGTAGTAATACCATTGGTAGTGATACCATTAATACTACTATTATAGCAAACTTCTATATTTCCTCTGGTGTTCCAGACACTCCTCTCTGGTTTTGCATATACTAACTCATGTACTTCTCATAACCTTGTGAGGTAGGTTCTGTTATTACCCTCATTTTCTGTATGAGAAAACTGATATAGAGAGAGGTTAAGTAGCCTAACCAATTTGTGCTCTACCCAGTACACTAAGCAGATGAATTACAGAACCTTCAAAGTGGTCTGTATAGATGTGTACACCAGATTCAGCCAACTCAAAAGATCACTGGTTGAGAGGTGGGAAATGGGAGAGGTGGGGACCTTTGTGTAGATATCATCCAGTTGTGTGAGAGAAGAAAGTTCCCCTTTGGAGCATGTCTTTGTAACTCGTTCATATTAATAAGATGGTGAAGATTGTGTAAAATTATTGGCTCATCAACATTATCTGACTGTTGGGACTTCCCTGGTGGTCTAGTGGCAAAGACTCTGCTCTCCCAATGAAGGGGGCCTGGGTTCAATCCCTGGTCAGGGAACTAGATTCTACATACCATAGCTAAGAGTTCATGTGCGACAACTAAAAATCCTACATGCTACAACTAAGACCTGGTGCAGCCAAATAAATAATAAAGGAATATTATCTGACTGTTTACCTTCTCAGGTGAACAAGTTTATCAGGAAAAACATTCAACATTTAGTTTGCTACGGCAGAACTAAGGTCGGCACTCAAATTAAATTTAAATATTGGTGATAAATCAGGATGGTAATCAGGGCTGAAATACAGGTGGAGGTGGGCAGGGGAGGGAGAGGGAGATGGAGATGGGTAGGATGTCCAAACAAAGATGATCTTGATCACATAGTTGAATGAAGCTTGAAGTTCCTTTCAGATAGTAGTAGAACTCATGAAAGATTGGATGGACTTCTGTATTTGTAGTGCATCGTTCATCCTGACTGCTGAAGCTTTCCTAGTTTTATGCCTATCACTCCACAAAGATGACATTGTTTGGAAATTTTTAAGAATGATGAAGAATCTATTCGTTGCTTCCTCTAATATTATCCTTAACAACAGTAACACTTACTCAGAAATAATGTTCCAAACAATGTCACCTTTTCGTGTGTCATGACCTTGACAGACTAGGCCATTGAAAATATTTCTTCACCTTTTTAATGTAAGATGTAACTGTACTTATAGATACTATAGTGTTCTAGATACTTGTGGACTGAAATTACAGTGAAGAACATCTTATAAGCCATAATGAAGGCTCTTGGGATAGTGACTGAATATAACTATTACAGTGGTTTTTATCCATCCATCTCATCAGTACCATGTATTTGCTGTTCTAGCTTCTGGGGTACAGAAATAAAAACATAGATACTGCCCCTGATTTCTTCTTGTGGAGTCTGCAGTCTGATGGGGAAGAAAGAAGTTAAACAGGTTCACCAGAAATATTTAATTACTATTAAATTGAATTTTAGAAAAACTAATGAACTTGTAAATGATTGCCTCCCAGTTAACTGTAAAAGGCTAAATAATTTCGAATGCTGGGAAATGGACTAGTTAAGAACCAAGAGTATGCTAGTTTGCGCTGGTAAGTGAAAAGTAATGGATTCAAGGCATTGACATAACTGAAAAGATAAGCATTAAAAAGACAGGTATCTTATAAAATGCTTTAAAATATAGAATATATCTATAGCAGATCTTAATAGGTTCATTTTCTTTGCACTTAAATTGTTTTTTTAATTACTATATTATGAATGATTATAAAACAGACACAAATACTGATCATGGGCAACTTTGATATGGAAACTTTAAAAAAAAAAAAAAGCACATGCATCATAACTTCCTCCTGAGTTTTTCCTTTCTGCTATGTTGTTTTGGAAACTATATTATGAATGATTATAAAACAGACACAAATACTGATCATGGGCAACTTTGATATGGAAATTTAAAAAAAAAAAAAAAGCACATGCATCATAACTTCCTCCTGAGTTTTTCCTTTCTGCTATGTTGTTTTGGAAACTCCAGAGGGGAGACATTCTATGGATGACCATGAGAATAGCAGCTCCTAGCCAAAAGGATCTCCAAACCTTCTTTTGTTCTTTTTCTCAAATCAAAAGTAATGAAAGGTATATTCAAGCATGTTTAAATCTTTATTAAAAGTTTTCTTTTGCATTTGGTATTAAAACCAGTAGAAGTTCTTAGATGACTGTTTTATGTTTGTCCTTAATCCATGGTTATTGTTGCCTGTGAGCTCAGATTGGGTGAAATTATGTTTTTACTCCAGCTATTTAAATCCTTGGAAAATTCCTAAGGTGAAATTTACACCCTGCAGGATTCTCAGAAGAATGACTCTTGTCTTTCCATGTCTGTGCGGCCTTATGCTTTTGTGGTATGGGGATGCTATTGAATATTTTATTTCTGATCATTGATCTTTTATAAATTTTTTGCTTCCTTTCCCATTGATATTACTACAGGCTCAGTTTGAACTTCAAACCTTTCACATCCGGGGCGAGCATGCAGTGATAACAGCAAGACTAGAGGAAACCATTGAGAATCTCAAACATGAGATAGAACACCGACGGCAAGGAGGATGCGAAGAGATGAGAGATGTGTGTGTCTCCACGGATGATGACTGCCCTCCAAAGACTTTCAGAAATGTGTACATCCAGACAGACAGAGAGACTTTCCTCAAACCCTGCGAAGGTGAAAGCAAGACAACCAGAAGTAACCAAATAATACCTAAAAAGCTGAACATCTCCTCTCTAAGCCAGCTCTCTCCCCCAAATGACAACAAAGACACCTGTGTACCACCTGTGGAAGGCAGCTCATTGAATCAGCAGAAAGCAACTCCTCCCCCTCCCCCCCCTCCTCCTGCCCCACCGCTGCCAGCAGGCATCCCTCCCCCGCCTACCCTCCAGCCTGGACTTGGACCTTTGCCACCAGCACCTCCGCCGCCACCTGTGAACACTGGACCGCCCCCGCCTCCACCACCTCCTCTGCCTCCAAGTGCCGGACCTCCCCCACCTCCGCCGCCCCCGCCTCTCCCTCCTCCTGTCCCTCTGCCCAGTAGCGGGGGTCCTCCTCCTGCTCCAGCACCCCCGGGACTTGCACCCCCGCCTCCTCCTGGACTCTTCTTCGGAGTTGGCCCTTCTTCTAGCCAGTGTCCTCGGAAGCCAGCCATTGAACCCAGTTGTCCAATGAAGCCTCTGTACTGGACTAGGATACAAATAAGTGATAAGAGGTAAATTCAACTCCCTGGTCCATTTTCAGCTTGTGAATTTGCAGGATTTTGCACAGGTGATGTTGTATTCGTGTGAGTTCAGTGTCTTTGTAGTGTGGCATTCATTCTCAAACATGGTAGTGAATGCCTTGGATAAATGAGGCTAGAATGTTTTGGGAAGAATGTCCCCACCAGGTCTTCTCTGTTCTCTATGGATTGATGGCTGCGAGAAATGACATGTTCTATGTAAGACCCTTCTCAAAGGCATATATTCATTTGCTGGATTAGAGAAGAGCCCAGAGCTAAGTTAGGATTTCCTCCTGTATCCCTGAAATTAGTGCAAAATCATAAAGACACCGAGCCTGAGTCTATACTTCAGGTTCACTGAAGATTTTTAGAATATCTGTCTTGTTCTAGGATAGTATCATCAGCCGTGTGATGTGTATATTCAGCAAGTAGGTGTAATTTTTCATTTTGTATTCAAAGAGCCAGACATAGATGAGTCATTAACTCTTCAGGTCAGTTCAGTTCAGTTCATTTCAGTTGCTCGGTTGTGTCCGACTCTTTGCAACCGCATGGACTGCAACACACCAGGCCTCCCTGTCCATCNTATCAATTCTGTCTGCTTGAACTCTGATACCCCTCACCACTGAGTGCAGTCACATTTTTATACTTTGTTGCCCTCTAGAGGAAGTGCCAATAGGTAGGTAGTTAAAAAGCATCTTCCATTTGTGTAGGTTGTTAAGGTGGGTCTATAAGGCAGCAAGAGATGCTTGCTTGAAAATTTCCACTCAAACAGATCTGATTGGATTTCTTCTGCCTCATTTTGGAGCCCATCAGGAGGACAATAAGAAAGATACTGAGTGGCTTCTTGACTATTCTTTAGGTGTGAAGTTCATTTGTTGGCAAAGAACAGCAAATATAGAATAGATTTTCACACTTAAATTTTCAAACTTATTCCCCAATTAAGATGTGGTTTAAAATTTTTCTATTTCTGTAACATTCTGCTTAGAAACAGCAGGATATTGAACAAAATAACATGCAATTTGATGACCAAGTAAATGGCAATCACTCTAGGAGAGATGGGGCATACCTTGACACTAGCATGTGGTAAACCAAGTTGATTGTATGCTTTGTATTTGGCCCCTTTCCTCTCCTCAAAAAATAAGAGCCACAAATGTGTTTTTTTTTAGTTAATACTCTATATTTAAACTTCCCAAATGAATGATTAAAAAACCATGAAATAGTCCTGAAATAACTCCTACCATTAACCAGTGTGCTAGCATTCCTCTTTTCCCACTCAAGGCTCAGCTGACATTTCCTAAGAAATTATTTCTCAGAGTATTTGGAGCTGTGTTACCTTATTATGCTCTCAGATTAATGTGCAGTCATTCCAGGGTGATGAAACTCACCCATCAGCCCTGGCATTGTGTGTTCTGAGGGTACACAGAGCCATTCCATACTTGGGTCTCCCTAACCTGCCTCCGCTTCATTCCCGTAAGACTTCATGAGCAAATAATAGCCTGGACCATATCAGTGGCATAATAGTAACAACTAGGAGATGTGAGTTCTTCACTGTTTAAGACAACAAAGACAAGCTGGAGGTAATCATTGCATTTTTTCTGTCCTTATGCAGTTGGACATTTTGAAAGAGAAAACAATTGAATGCTCAAGTTCTTACCAGCTTCACCGTAAATCTAGGGCTTTGGTTTTGTTATGAGTTGCATTGCTCCCCCCAAAATTGATTTACTAATGGCCTAGACCCCTCCCCCTTAACTCAGACTGTGACCTTACTTGTAAATAGGCCTGATGAAGATGTGATTAGGTAGGTTAAGCTGAGCTCAGACTGGAGTAGGACCGACCTCTAATTCAAAACGACTGACTTGCTTATAAAACGGGGAAATGTGGACACTGCTGGGTGCGGAGGGAGAACTGCATATGGAGTTTGAAGTCCTGCTGCTACCAGCAAGTCCATTTTAAGCTAAATGAAAAGTTAGATGAATGTACCAACTTTCCTGACCTGGGACTTAAGGAAATCTCTGCTTGGTGAACATGTCAGCTTGAGCCTGAGTTCTAGGCACAGGGGTTTAGTCTCTTATTATGGGTCCCTCAAAATATCTTTGTACCTCAGAGCATGACTACATCTTTTAAGTTAAAATGATCTGAAGATGCTGTGTACTATTCATTATGGGCAGAAGTAAAATTATTTGGGATTGTTCTTTGGAAAGAGGTGCTATTTGTATCACCAGAGGAGTAAGTACTTCATAATATACATAATAAATTTTGATCTTGGTCTTCTGAGGAATTAGGAATAAAAAATGAATTTTCTCTATTATATACACACTGCTTCTCCTCCAGCTAATGTGATTTTAAACTTATGCTGTTTTGCTTTCTTTGATGTCTGTTTTCTGTTTCTAGAGTAGGGAAAAGCCATTTATTATTTTTTTTTTTAAGGAAAAATACTCATACAACTCCCTTTTTTGGCTTCCTCATAAGTACCTTCCTAATGAGAAAGTATCTTCTGCTCTCCCTCTGCCCTCTTCCTGCTCTACTGTTCTTCCCGCTTATGCCTGCATCCTTCCCCTCTCCATTATTTTTTCCCTCACCTCCTCCTCCTCCTGCCTTCCTCTTCCTCTTCTTTTGAGCTAAAATTGATTCAGTGGTCAGGAAAAAGTTGACCATGATGGCAGACGGTCCATTGTGAGCAACCCCTTGTTACTGCCCTACCAACCCAGTTGCCTGCAACCTGCTGAGAAGTGGTATTCCAAAATTCTGTGATTCGTTTTTGGAAATGCCTTTTCCCATAGAAATAATGTTGAAAATGGTCACGAGGTGCTCAACATGACTGCCAAAGCCAATTTACTTCAGCATCTACTTATAAAACGGGGAAATGTGGACACTGCTGGGTGCGGAGGGAGAACTGCATATGGAGTTTGAAGTCCTGCTGCTACCAGCAAGTCCATTTTAAGCTAAATGAAAAGTTAGATGAATGTACCAACTTTCCTGACCTGGGACTTAAGGAAATCTCTGCTTGGTGAACATGTCAGCTTGAGCCTGAGTTCTAGGCACAGGGGTTTAGTCTCTTATTATGGGTCCCTCAAAATATCTTTGTACCTCAGAGCATGACTACATCTTTTAAGTTAAAATGATCTGAAGATGCTGTGTACTATTCATTATGGGCAGAAGTAAAATTATTTGGGATTGTTCTTTGGAAAGAGGTGCTATTTGTATCACCAGAGGAGTAAGTACTTCATAATATACATGATAAATTTTGATCTTGGTCTTCTGAGGAATTAGGAATAAAAAATGAATTTTCTCTATTATATACACACTGCTTCTCCTCCAGCTAATGTGATTTTAAACTTATGCTGTTTTGCTTTCTTTGATGTCTGTTTTCTGTTTCTAGAGTAGGGAAAAGCCATTTATTATTTTTTTTTTTAAGGAAAAATACTCATACAACTCCCTTTTTTGGCTTCCTCATAAGTACCTTCCTAATGAGAAAGTATCTTCTGCTCTCCCTCTGCCCTCTTCCTGCTCTACTGTTCTTCCCGCTTATGCCTGCATCCTTCCCCTCTCCATTATTTTTTCCCTCACCTCCTCCTCCTCCTGCCTTCCTCTTCCTCTTCTTTTGAGCTAAAATTGATTCAGTGGTCAGGAAAAAGTTGACCATGATGGCAGACGGTCCATTGTGAGCAACCCCTTGTTACTGCCCTACCAACCCAGTTGCCTGCAACCTGCTGAGAAGTGGTATTCCAAAATTCTGTGATTCGTTTTTGGAAATGCCTTTTCCCATAGAAATAATGTTGAAAATGGTCACGAGGTGCTCAACATGACTGCCAAAGCCAATTTACTTCAGCATCTGAGTGAGCTACAGCCCTCATCATCCGGACCTGAGCTCAGAGTCCTTGGAGCTGGGGCCAGGTGGTACAGGTGCAGGAGATGGGGGCATGGGTCTGAGTAATCTTCCTTGTGCATGACATTACCTCCGTCATAGCACCCTCTCCTTGGCTTCCCAGAACCTTCCTGAGGCCCTGTCCAGCAGGTCTGAGGTAGCATGCTCGAAAATTTCCTGGTTGTCTTCTCCCACCAAGAATCCCTTTGCCAAGAGCAGCTGAGAAAAGCATTTAACATTAAAGGTGTTCATGTTGTGAACTGAAGTTAAGTGAGTGGGGGCGGGACTGGTGCTGAGGAAGGAGCACATGCAGATGGATGTACCTCACTGGGAATATTCTAGCCCTTGGGTGATGATTTCACAGGTACTCACTATCTGTTATACATTATAACTTACATATCAGGCTCCACATGGGTGCTTTAGCGGATCTCTGTGGGGGCTGGTGCAATGGCATTGTTTGTTTTTATAAATACTATTGTTGAGATAGTGTATTTTAAATCAAATATTTCTAAATGAACACAGCCCATTCATATATATATATATGAGCATATATACATATATGGGTCCTGTACTTAGTTGATGTGGGCTAAACCCAAAAACCATATTTGAAGTGTTTAGAAAAAAATCTACAGGAGGATAAATCCTCACTTTATCACTCCATTTTCATTACATTTAGAAATTATCCCATGGAATGTCTCAGAATGGTGGCTCAGATGGTAAAGAATCTGCCTGCAATGCAGGAGACGATGGTTCAATCCCATGGACGGGAAGATCCCCTGGAGAAGGAAATGGCCACCCATCCCAGTATTCTTGCTTGGGAAATCCCATGGACACAGGAGCCTGGCGGGCTACATACAGTCTGTGGGGTCACAAAGAGTTACAAAGGACTGAGCGACTAAGCCATTCACTTTCACTTCACTTTCAGCCTTTATACACTGCCCATTTTTACCCATCATGAAAATGCCACAGACTGAGGGGGGGCGGCTTACACACCCAGGAGTTCTGGCCCCACGGGGTTCCTCTGGTTCTTGCTCACAGCAACGTGTGCCCGCACAAGGACCGTTCTCTTTTGGAAACGTGTTTGCTTTAATGCTTCGTAGTATATTTTGATTTAAAAATGTATAATCATATGAAGCTTTTCTTCAAGCTTTATTAGAGTTTTTAAAGGAGTTAAAAAATGAATTAAGGACGTCACTGTATTCTATTCTCTTTTGTTTGGTTCTTACATTTAACTTGCCATTTTCTCTTTTAAGCCAAAATTCTACACCAACTTTATGGGATTCCTTAGAAGAACCTGATATTCGGGATACTAGCGAATTTGAGTATTTATTCTCCAAAGACACACCTCAGCAGAAGAAAAAACCTCTCTCAGAGACCTATGAGAAAAAAAACAAGGTCAAAAAGGTATTGCCTGGCTATAGTAATCATAACTATATCACTATTTTTTGTCCTGCTTGGGGTTTCATTATGTGCTGCTGATTTGCTTCCCCTCTGTTTTCGAAAAAAATGTTTTGGAAGGTTTTGGGTCACAGATGACATCAAGGAGCCAATGGTTTGAGAAATCTGTACTTACTATTTCGGTCATATTGTTTGAATTTCCAAACTATTAATCTGAACTTTTTTTCCAGCCATTAATTCTATTAAAAAAAAAAAATTAGTGAAAAGTGTTCTGTAGGCTATGTGGAAAATATGCCTTACTTATTTATAAATTCATTCATTGAACAACTATTTATTGAGAGTGTATTTGTGCTAGGTTTTGTTTCAGGCCCATGCTCTCCAGTAGGGTATTCCTTAGCCCCATGTGACAAGGTTAAGTCATAAAATTAGATAAATTTAAATATTCAGTGGCATTTGCTACTTTTTATTCTTCTGGCTGGTGGCTACCATACAGCAGATTAAAGAGCATTTTTGTTTTTATAGAAAGTTCTATTGGATAGCACTGTCTGAGCACCTGTGGTACGTTAGTGAAAAAACAAAACAGAGATCCTTGCCCTGTGCAGACTGTATAAACCATCAACATCAAAAACAAAAAGTCAAATCTTGCGATGAGAGCAGCATCAGGAGGATCAACTTTGGGAGAAGTGGGGGGATGGCTTACAGGTTTGAATACAGAGTGTTCAGGGTAGTCCTCATGGAGAAGGTGACCTCTGAGCAGGCTTGAGGGCTAAAAATCTGAGGCCATGAGCCATCCCTCAGAGAACAAGATCAAGATTCTCAAGCAGTCAGACAGGTGTGGAGGTGAGTGGCCAGGGTGCCTTGCACTGACGGTGTGACCCGAGTCAGAGTCCTTTCACTGGCCTCGTCCCCCTCAGCAGGGTCACATGTGACAACATCTGTCCCTGTTGTTCTAAGTGAGAATCAAATGAGGTCACGTTGTGATGATGACATAGATGGTGTTGAGGAAAATCACTTGGCCCATGAACAGTGTGAGTTTGAGCTGCATGGCTCCACTTGGACGTGGATATTTTTCAGGAGTAAATACTTTAATCTTAAACAGTCTGTGTTTGGCTGAATCCATGGGTGTTGAGTTCTGACTCTAAGCTATATGCAGATTAACTCCTTAGTTGTTCAAGGGTCAGCTTGGCAGTACTTGGTTCTGCTGTTGATTTACAATGTGATTTGGGCAGCTTGTCTCACTTCTTCAGGCCATGTTCTCCCTTCTCTTTAAGACAGGATTAACAATATCTGAGTCTACCTGAGCCATCAGGTTACTGTGACATTCAAATCTAAGAGGATTGGAAGAAGTGTTTTGAAAGTGTGTAATATCGAATGAGAGTTTCATCAACGCTTCATTCTTAAATTATACACTGAGGTTCATGCATTGGTTGGTATCTCAAGTAACATTATGGTTGAGAAATCTGCTATGCCTCATAATAGGGGAAATGGCAAAAGTCTGAATGCAGTTTTCTGTTTAATCAAGTCAAATTGGACCACTGACTTGAATTATACATGAAAATCTTGATCAAAGTTTGTTACCTCTTAAGTTTGATGGAATTTTTTGTTTTGTTTGATGGAATTTATCAGTTTTCCTGATAAAACAATGTGATCCCAATTATAATTAAATATCAGAACAAATCTTTTAAGAGGACATATTGCAGGAAACAACTTAATTACAGGCAAGAAGTCAAATGATAGACTATGAAATATATACATGTGCGGTTAGAATCCTATGGCTTGGAAATAAATGTGCTTTGCAGGCCAGCTTGCTTTTTAAATGCCATCTATAGGAACAGAAGACTACTTGTTTCTATACAAAAGGCAGACCCAGAATCTCTCTATTCCAAAGGTGGCATCATATTGCCTCTTCTAGGAAGTTTTCTTTGACCATCCAGGAAATCCATTGGATGTTTTCTTACCCAATATCATATAAAATTTACTTTTATTCTCTTTTTCTTTTAAAATTGCTGTTATTCCTTGTGTTTTCCTCTCTCTGGATGCTTGATTACATATTAGTTCTTCATAAAGCTAATTCTTTCTGTTCTGGTGAATGAGAATTTTTAAAATATTTAAGTATTTGTTTTTGAAACATCAAAGCATTATTTTTTTAGTTTATTCTTATTTCTTATCTCATAATTGGTTGCCTCGTCAGCAAAGGATTTTCACTAAGGCAGTTAGTACTTGATGTGTTTGTTTTTCTGAGGGGGAAAATATCCTTCATTCAAACTCTTTTATCTTTCTGAACAGTGAGGTTGCTGTTACCCCAAAGAATCTGTGCACATGTGAAGTCACTATTTTTTCTTTAAAGGTAGGTCTACTGAGCTTTCTTGGTAGCTTAGTTGTAAAGAATCCACTTGCCAAGTAGGAGACATGGTCAATCACTAGGTTGGGAGGAGGCCCTGGAGAAGGAAATTGCAACCCACTCCAGTATTTCTGCCTGGGAAGTCCCAGGGACAGAGGAACCTGGCGGGCTATAGTCCATGAGGTCGCAGAGTTGCATACAACTTAGCGACTAAACAGTAAAATGACTACTGGATTTTGATGATCTTGAGGCTGCTTGAAGTCTGCAGTGAACTTGCGTCCCACCTTAGAACTGAGATATTCTAAGTTTTAAAGAAAATAATGAGTTGAGTCAATGCCAAGAAAACTCTGAACCTGCCTCCTATATGCCTTCCCTCTGTGCCCATGACCAGATTTCCAACATCAAGATGGATCCCGCGGTCTCTTCTGAAAGTCGGGTGTTTCTTTTCTTTTCTCTGAGGATGAAGATGAAAGTGAGTTTTAGCGATTGTGAGCAACCGGGACTTTGAGCACTGGAGGCCAGCTTTGAGCACTGGAACCGCAGAATGGTTCCCATACAATATGACCAGGAAACACTTGCCAAATACACCTTTTTATGGTGACCAAAGGTGGAGTATATGCTGGAGTTTTAAAAATTCAGCATTCTGAATCTTGGCCTCTGGTACTTTGCTAGAACTGAGACATACACGTGAGCATCTCTTAAGTAGAGCTGACGTGCATCCATCGGTGTATCCCACATCTTTAGTTGAGAACTGTTCAAATTGTCGTGGTTCTGCTAAACTCAGATACAAGTTTCTACTTCCATCTTTTATAACAGTATTTAAAGTTCTCATCACTGGCACTGGTTTTAAGTAAACAGATATATAGCTTCTTTTCTTTTTGATACATATCTTCTTAAACTGGGCCAGGATCCTGTTTTCTAGTAAGATGTAGTCTAAGAATTGGCAGGAGCCTTCCTGATCAACTAATTCGGTACCTTCATTTTGGCCCGTGAGAAACGAGACCTAGAAAGATAAAGATGAGTTCTAGGGTTTGTACTCTTTTCACAGGAAGTCATCATTAATGACAGACCCTTGAGAGGATGTAGAAGAGCCTCAGTATGTGTCTCCTTTTCCTTAATTTAAACAGTAATTTGCCATTCTTAAAGATGATCAATTTTACTAGGGTGATTGATTTTGACATTTATAAATGAGAATAGCCATTGTTAGAATCATCAACAGGATACAGCTACACTTGTGCAAATCTAAAATGTGTCCTACGTGGTGAAATTTAGGGTCTTTCAATAGGAATCCAATCTTTGAATAAAAAGACACTTTAGGTATAAGTCCAAGTATAAAATAATATGGAGAATTGGAACTGTTTTCCTTTGACCCCATCTATCCTTTTAAATGTCAGCTATAGTAAGTCAAATACTAGCTATGACAAACTCTTATTGCATACTCAGACATGAGCCTTCCTCATTTGTGACCTGAGACCACTGTGCCACTACAAACGTAACATGTACCACATTGAGAACCAGAGCTCGAAACATCATCGCTTGTCTGTACCACCAATGCTTAATACCACCTCCTATTGTTTTTGCTCTCTGATAGCTTTCAGGGCAACTTGTATGACTTGTCCACACTGATTCTTTCTCTACAGAATAGGGAATCACAACCCTTCAGGGTTGTTCTGAGGATAAAATGAAATCATGATTGTGAAAGTACTTTTAAGTATTCTCTAGAAATGTAATAATCTCTTAGTTATGAACAAATGTGAAAACTTTGTAAAGAAATTCTTGAACATCACTGACTCCCACAACCTTGTAGAGCAGGGGTCCCCAACCTCTGGGATCTAATGCCTGATGGTCTGAGGTGAAACTAATGTAATAATAATAGAAACAGAGTGCACAATAAATGTAATGTACTCGAATCATCCCCAAACCATCCCCTCCTCCCCAATCTAGGGAAAAGTTGTCTTCCTCAAAATCAGTCCCTGGTGCCAAAAATGTTGGCGACCGCTGCTAACTCATTGGACCTCTGCTCACTCCCCCTAAATAAGCAAATAAATCTGATGGGCAGGCCTTCTCTGACCATTCACTGTACTCTCAATCCTGTGAAAAGGCACCTTGGAATTAGTGAAATTGTGAGAAGGGAGTCATTTGGATGTTCCGCCCAGACAGTCTCTATTTAAACTCNCAGCATCAGGGTCTTTTCCAATGAGTCAACTCTTCGCGTGAGGAACCACTGTTAGAGGGCCTTCAAATATAAGTGTATCCATTCCTGAAACTTTGCAAATGGTCATCTCTAGATCAGTCCTGTCCGTCAGTATTTGTGGAAGAATTCCTTTAATGGCACATACTGCAGTCATCTAGTAGTTCATCTTACAGTGGTTGATATGTCTTTTTGCACTGTGAAGTAAGAGTTTTCGCTGTCAGTGAAACACCCTTGTTTATCTGGGCGTATCTGTCTCTAAGTTACATGTATTCTGGGGAAAGGTAGGTCAGTGCATTGACAAGGAGCCAGAAACCTGCTTTCATCGTCTGAGATTTTTTGTCCTGGTGCCTGTCAGAGAAGCAGCTACTCCGATAAACTTTCCAGTTGCTTTCTAAACTTGCCCAGCAGCGTTCAGAAAATCAGCGTGACCTGCCAATATTCTTCCTCTGTTGAAATGGCACAATCTTACTT